GGGTGGATGGAAGGGTGGATGGTGGGTGGATGGATGGATGGATGGATGGATGGGTGGGTGGATGGATGGATGGATGGATGGATGGTGGGTGGGTGGATGGATGGATGGTGGATGGTTGGATGGATGGATGGATGGATGGATGGATGGATGGATGGATGGATGGACTTTAATTCTGGATATCTGGCCCCTGAGCTGCTGCCTCTCAGTAACTGTGGCCCCTGATCTAAATCAGAGCCCTGATTTTAGATTTAGACGTGTTAGTTATTTATTTGTTTATTGTATTTTATTTTATTTATTTTATTTGGGCAGACTTCCTGTTTCTTCTTCTCTGGTTTTAAATCTGTTGACGTCGGTGATGGAGGGAAACCTGAAGAACGTCAGAACATCAGACGTCGTTTTTCAGTGGGTTAGTTCAGCTGTTGGAGTTTCAGATTCTGGTTCGGCCCGGTTCAAGGCAGAACTCACTGAAGCATCAGTCAGGAACTCGTCTTTAACAGAACCTCTTCCTCGAATGAACGGACCGGTTCTGAGTTCTGATCTGGAACCAGTTCAAAGGTAGAAACTGAACGGCGGACTCTGTGGGTCAGAGCCCCCGAACAAACAGGAACCAGAGGCGAAGAACAAACACAGGAAGGAGAGTCTGGACTCAAACAGCCGGTCTGACCCGTGGCACAGAGCTCAGCTGCACGTCGCTCCAGGGTGCAGGTCAAAGGTCGTCGTTACATTTCAGGCCAACTGAAGAAACGGGTCAAAGAAGAACCTCAGAGTTTGGACCTAAAATCATAAACTGAGGCAAACTCTTGTCTGGTTTCATTCACTGGCAGCATCTGAACAGATTTCTGTTGGAACTAGTTAAAACCTTTCGTTCAAACTTATAACGAATTTACATTTCTAATAATAGTTAAAAAAACAATACACGAACACCAGCAAGACGATTCTCATGGGTTCTGTTGGCCTACACGCCTAATGTGAGCACTAACATAAACTAAACTAACTTAAACTAAACTAACTTAAACTAAACTCACATAAACTAAACTAACTTAAACTAAACTAACATAAACTAAACTAACTTAAACTAAACTAAC